TCTTGCCATTTGCAACAACATGGGTGATCTAGAGGGTATAATGCTAAGTGAAATAAGTCAGTCAAGAGAAAGATAGATACTGTATGATCTCACTCACATGTGGAATTTAAGAATTTCATTGACTTTTAAGTATCCCATCGTATGGATCCGCCAGGGTTTACCTATCCATTGCCCTATTGTTGGACATGTAGACTGTTTCCATGTTTTCCATATTATGAATATCATGGCATGTTATGAGAGATCACTTATTCACACTCCTGGAGGGTGCCTTCTACCACAGTACAGCGCTGGCCTTTTTCTGGGGGTACAGTGAGGTACCTAATAGATATGTTTGGGATGAGGGCTTGGGCTGGTGGTTCACATCTCCTTCTCCCAGGAGCCCCTGTTACCAGAGGGCAGGCTCTTACTCTGAGCAGCTTGGAGGGGGAGACCTGTGACGGGGCAGGTGGATCTTTGCCTTGGGGTCAGTATTAGGAAGTGTACTAAAGCTGCATCTCTAAGGTTTGCTCTCTGATTGCCTCAGCACACATTTTGATTCTTGTATATCTGTGCCCTATTATGATTCTCTCCTTTGTGTAATTTTCAGAATTGGGATTTTGGGGGTTGAAGTTGAGTATATTTTAGGTCTTTTGATACAATTTTCATGTCCTTCACCAGAAAGTCAGTACCAATGTTGACTCCTACCAGCAGAGATTAGATTTATGATTGTCTTTGAAAGCTTTATTTTTCTTTCAAATATATATATATTTAGGGTGTGGTTATATATCTATATTTCTATTTAATGTGTAAAATATATATGTTTTATGTGGGGTGGGATTTTAGATCTATATTTATATTTAACATATAAAATACATTAAATTTTATATTATATACTAATTATGAGTTATATTTATATATTAAATGTGTATATATATAAATTATATAAAAATATACATTTTAAACTTAATTTTACCCAGAATAAATATTAGAAATGGTAGGAGAGAGTATTAACATCATTTACCTCGTTCTAAACCATCTGGGAGTCTCATATGAAAAATTTTGGTCATTTCATTAAGTGATTTGAAAAGTAGTACTTGGCATAAGAAACAAAAATAGGAGGTTTTTTTATAGGAGTTTTTAAAATATATCACTTCATTTGTAGAAATAAAGGAATCTGTTGTTTAATTAATTGAGAAGATCAGAATGAACTGCAAAAATATCACTGGGGCTCTCTCTTCTCCCCTCATCCTAGGTTTAAACAACCTAGGATGTTGTCCTAGGTTTAAACAACCTGCCAGTCGGCAGTCATTGCCTTGAGAAGCTGGACCTTTTTTCTTGGGTCACAGATGTTAAGGCTCCAGGGAAGTTTGAATCATTTATTCTACATAGTGGTTTACATGTTTTTACCAGGAGTATGGTAGCATTGTGGATACCCACTTTTTTTTTGCATAGATTTGAAATAAAGTGAACAAAAATTCCACCGTCCTGTGGAGGTGTTTGAGAGGACCTGAACCCACCTTGTCCTTAGTACTTTGTGAAATTGGCCGTGATGTGCTCATGGCTGAAGGGTTTGTAGTCGGCAACTCCTGGAAACAAGCAGAGAAGAACATGAGGAGGCCATGGTGCACGTAACCACCCCTACCTCCCAAAGGGCCAGCCCATAGTTAGAGGAGTAAAATCATCCCTGAGTGAAATGGGCAGCTTGATTAGTATGGAGGAGCATGAGATTGAGATTTAGGGAGTCCTTGTTTCTAGGCTTAGAGCTGCCATGTGGAGCATCTCTTTGGACAAGCCCCTTAAACTGTGAGAGCCTCCTTTTCCTCATGCCTTAAATTGCACTAATATCTACCCTGAAGAGACATTTTCAGGATTAGGAATAAGGACTGCCAGATGCCTAATATAGTCCCTGGCACATAGTTATTGTGCAATAAAACGACTTAGTTAAGTCGAACTTACAGCATTCAAGGTAGGAACTCACGTTCACTTTTGAAGATTTTGCAAAAAATAGGGAAGGGCATTGGGTTGAGAATTCTTGTGTTTCAGGGCAGAGAAGTTAGATGATGGCAGTACTGATGATTAGCTTTCAAGTCACCGGGCATCGGAAAGATAATTCCAGGCCCAGATGTTTTAGATGTCAGAGGCCTGTTTACCATTCTTTCCCCAGAGAAGAAGGGTAATTGGCAGACATGAGAATAAGCCTGATTTAGGTTCCCGGGCAATTCTTGAGATGCAGGTGGTAGAATACTAATATTTAGCATTTGTGAATGCAGAAGACATTGAACTTACTCATTTTAAACATGTTATTTGTAATTTTCACACTAACCCAAGAAATGGTTATTACTATTTCTATTTTATAGCTCTGGAAACTGGTTCTGAGAAGATTCATTCCTTGCTTAATGCAGCTAGTAAGTAAGAGAAGGGGCTTCTAACCAAGCCTTGTGTAACCTCAAGATCTTCATTACATGCTTTGCTGCAATTCAACAAATTCTGACTGGCCAGATTTTGTTAAGTACCTGACAGACTCTAAGAAAACATCTCTCCCATTGAAATCTTGGATAATAAAGCATCTTATAAAGCCACAGCCTCAGTTCTGCTGTGACTTTACGTGGCTTCGCATCTCCCTGCATTGTGCCGATTAACATCCCCTTAACTAGGGAACATCATCCTTAGACAAAACCACACACAGTGCTCTTTAACTTGGAGGATATTTTAGTATTTGCGAAAAATTTTAAAGAATGTTTTCCAAAGTGGCTGTACCAACTTGCATTCCCACCACCAGTGTAAGAGGGTTCCCCTTTCTCCGCAACCTCTCCAACATATGTTGTTTCTTGCCTTGTCAATTTTTGCCATTCTAACTGGTGTAAGGTGGTATCTCAATGTGGTTTTGATTTGAATTTCCCTGATGGCTAATGATGATGAACATTTTTTCATGGGTCTATTAGCCATTTGTATGTCTTCTTCAGAGAAATGTCTTTTCATATCTTCTGCCCATCTTTTGACTTGGTTATTTGTCTTTTGGGTGTTGAGTTTGAGAAGTTCTTTATAGATCTTGGATACCAGCCCTTTATCTGTAGTGTCATTTGCAAATACCTCTATCTAAGAGAACAGAGTAGATGGTTACCTCTATCTACCCATCATCTATCATTCAATCGAATCACTGTATATATATTCATAATATATATATGTGTATGTACATGTATGTGGCATCACTGTATACACAAGTTTCATATATATACATACAATCTCACAGTTATTTGATTAAATGAATGAATTAATTAAATAAGGAAATGAAAGAAAGTAGCCCACAGACTATGGAAGAAAGTCCCAAATGCCTTTCCTTTTCTTACCTTCATTCAAAGGTGTTTTGCCACTAAGGAATTGCCAGTATGTCCGATCATGAACATTTTCAGCAATATTGTTGATGGAGGAGATGACAAGGCCCCATGATGTCATCGTGGTTTCAAATCTGTAAGAATAAAATCATATGTGATTAACCTCATTTAGGTCAGTCAATAAGGAGTTAAGGTGAAGGGACAGAGACATTCTAAGTGCTTTAGAGATCAGATAAAACCATGCTCAAAAGAAAAATTGCAAATGACTAATGGATATGAAGTTACTTCACTTGCAAGTAAATGAAATTAAAATGAATGGAGTTTTTTAAAAAAACCTATCAATAAGCAAATTTAAAATAATGTAAATGCCCAACAATGGGTGAATACTTGCATGAGTGATGGGATGAATATCCAAGATTGAATTTTTTTTTTTTTGCTGTGATGAAATTGTATTTTTCAATAATTTTAAGTGACATTAAAAATGCTCGTGCAAAAAAAAAATGCTCATGCAATAATTGTTAAGCGAAAATGTGGGACACAAATTTTACACGAAATAACTATCCCATCCATGTGAGGGATCACAACTATCTATAAGATGCAAAGAAGAAAACCTACAAAATTATAAAGAAACGTCAACAGCGATTATATTGTGCACACACTATAGGTGCTTTGTTTTGTTCCTTTTTAAAAAAATTTATTTAAATTCAATTAATTAGCATATAGTGTATTACTAGTTTCAGAGGTGCTTTGTTTTGTTCTTTATGCATCACCCCCCAGTTGTCTAGTATACGTATTTATGACATTCACAGTCAGAAAAAGAAAAATCAGGCAAAATTAAAGCTAAGCTCAGAGAAGTAGTAAGGTATATTCAGAGGGTATTTGAAAACTAAGTATTCTTGAAATGCAACTTTTATCCTGACCTGTCTATGGAAGTCAGGGAAATTATGGAGTTGGGCTGTGAACAGCAGGTATAATGTATTGAACCCAATCCTGTGGAATAGATTCCGCATACCACTCAGTTGTCACTTCCTTGGGCTTGGTCAATCTTTCTCTCTGGCATTGCTCTGCAGAATTTGGGTCATGTCATCGTTCCTTTGAATGTCTCTCCTCTTTTCCTTTCCAGGACCTGGCATTTTTCCTCTGCTCCTCCTGTGAGCTTAGTCTTCTCCATATTTCTCTACTGCTTCCTCTTCTTGCAAACTATGAAGACATCCCAAGGTTTAATTTTATTTCTTGGGATTTACTTCTCTATTCTGCCCTTTGCCGACAGGACAGTGGAAGGAACATGAGCTTCACAGTCAAGTCTGGGTTCAGATCTCAACTCTATTAGTTACACGTCATGAGATCTTAGGAATGTTACTTAGCCTCTTTGGGCCTATATGGTGCTATCTGTAAAGTGGGCATATAGATAATGGTTTGTTTGTTTGTTTTTAAAGTGGGCTGTATGCCCAACATGGGGCTTGAAGCCACAATCCTGAGATCAGGAGTCCCATTCTCTGCTGACTGAGCCAGCCAGGTGCCCTGGACTTGTGGCTTTGTTGGGAGCTTGTCTCCTACCTCTGCACGGTTCCTCAGCTTCCGTCATCACCTCTGTCAGATGACCGTCCAGCCTCTTTTGCCTATCCTGACCTCTTTTTCTAGGTCTTCATCTAAACCTCCAAAACCTCCCTAATGTTTCTGTTTTGAATACCCACAATTAGACATGTCTAAAGGAATTAAGTCTTTTTCTCTGAAAGACATTCTTTCCTCCTGACACTCCTATCAAAAGTTTGGAAGCTTCTCTTTCTGCGCCCCACCCCCCTTCCAGTGCTCACAGAGCTGAGTGGCATCTTCCTTGGTGTGAGTCTGTTTATCTTAGATGGAGTCTTCATCACCTCCCAGATTCATTACCACAGGCAAGCCCCAGGTCTCCTCCTTGTCTCCCATTCTTGAACCAGTTAACGTTTTACAACATGACTTTTCTTACTTAAAAGCTTGCAATGCTTTCTCTAATAGGAAGCCCGATCTCATCTCAGTTTTTCAGACTTTTTCCAATATCACCCAGCCTGTTCTTCCATACGTTACTTGATTCAGTCCCGTATCCCATATTCTGTTCTCTAGTCAAGCTGGTCTACTCACTGACCCTGAAGTCCTTGCTTATTCCTGTCTCGAATGCTTAATTCTAGCCATTCCCTCTTCCTAGAATACCATCTTCCCCTATCTTCCTTACAGTACTTATTCCTCAAATGGGGTCCAAAGCCACAAACCTTCCTGGACTACTCTAACCCACAGCAGGCTCTCCCCCTTTGAATTCCTGTTTGTAAAACTCCATCATATGTTGACTGTGTCACTGAATTTTTCCTGAGAGCCATGCTAGTTACAAGATTGCAGGCTTCTCAAGGGGTGATGCAATGAAGATCTGTTAAATTATCAGAAGGAGAAAGAAAGTAAGAAAATGAAGGAAGGAGGGAGAGAATGGGAATTCGGGAGGGGTCTGGGGAGAATGGTGAACGCTGCTTGCAGCACTCACTTGAACATGGAATTTCGGCGCTGTGCTTCCTCTAGGACAACAAGTAGCACTGATCCACGTTTCACAGTAACGTCGATGGTCGCATTGAAGCACAGATCCACCCCCCTCAGCTGGTTATTTATGGTGTATATGACGGTGATGTTGGAGGCTGTGGTGGGAACACGGCTGGGTTGAGTGGGGAGAGTTGGTTGCACTTCATCACCTGTGAAGAGCGAAGAGGCCACATTTGTTGAAGATTATGGGGTTTGTATTACAGGTGCAAAAATCTGTTATTGGCAACTCATCCTAAAAAAACATTTCAAGAAATGGCAATGATTTTGTGTCCTTTGTGGGTTGTTCTGAGGAACTGGTGTGATCTATGAAGCTCTCATTTCCATTCTAGAGAATTGTTCGTAGCTGAAGAGCTGACAGCCAGTTTTATAGTGAACATCAGTTTTGTTAAAAGAATTTATAACCAGAAGGGAGGATGGTTAGCCCTAAGTCATGTATTTTACATGATTGAGTTCTGTGGAGTTGTGGGCTTTTTTGGCAACAAAGGTAGTAAGCAAAGGTAGTAAGTTTCAGACCATTTAACAAAACACCTGGGCAACTATAGTGTAGAATCCTAGGAAAGACTCCGTGGCCACCTTGTCAAGGTTGGAAAATCACTGGGAAGCAGCCTAAGGAGTTGGGTGAATGCAGCTGTGTTTGGTGTAATTGGGATCAGGCTGCTCGATTGCAGTCTCTATAGACTCTGTACCGAGATGGGCAAGGAGCTGAGTAGTCTCTGCTTATCTAGGCAAGTCCATGCAGCATAAGCCAAACAGTACTTTATACTAGTATTTGATTAGAAAGAAGAGGTATCTTTGCAAAGACTCGTTATCTCTGGAGTGATAAAATTTTTATGCAGGACTCCCACTTTCTTCCTGCATATTTCTACAACGTTTGAATTTTAAGTATCCCTGTATTATATTTTTAATTGGATAAAATAGAGATATTAAAAATAAAAAGGTAATGTGCCTGGTTTCCAACCCATTCCTTTGATGTGCCAGGTGCACCAAGGCTTCATATTTAGATCTCCAAGTCTGATTTTAAACACAACTCTGTTCTTCTCATAAGTCTCTCAGACCAGATCAGTGGTCACACTTTTTTTGCTATGCACCACATGTGCTTCTATGTCTAGTTAATACGTATTTCATTCTTCCAAATGTTGTAGTTTTTGTCTACATATCTGTTTCCTGACCTTGTAAAGAGCAGATATCATAAGATACTGCATTTTTGGTGTATTTGTCAAGTGAATTAAGGAAGTTATATATCATCTGATTGCTAGGAGCATGGACCTCCCCTCTTCACCAGCATCTCACCGAACACTATGCATATAGTAGGTGCTCACTTAATGTGTACCGAATGACGTAGACGTGGGGGCTGAATTATGAGGGCAGGCTGGCATGGCCGTGTGTTAGCACACAACACCTGGGGATGGATAGCAGATGTGGCTTTGCCTACATAACAAGCCTATATGCCACTTAAAATCGATCCACATATTATTAGTGACATAAGTTGCTACTTCATGACATAAGGAAAGGCAGATGTTAAAGAGCTCTTACCAGGGCTGCAAGACACATGGGGCACATCCAGGTATGTCTTGCCTTTCAGGGAAGGGAGGATTTGGGCAATGGACATGGGATTGTGGAATTTCCCCTGCTCAATCTCCTTAAGTATTGTGTCCATGGTCTTCTGGCAGTTCCATTCCTTGTTAGGTTGCTTAGGTGTCACAGAGAGAGCCTGGGACAGGAGAGAGAGAGGGAGAGAGAGAGACTGAGAGATTGATTAGGCATAGCTGAGAGTTGGCCTCTATAAACTTCGTAAGAGATAGACTTGATCACTAATCTTGGGGATCAAACAGAATCCAACACTGAGCTGCCCAAGGTTCGGGACATTGTCGTTCTTGTTCACTGCTGCATCCCCACCTCTTAGCTCAAGGTCTGTCACATAGCAGTCACACAACAAATATATGTGCACCAATCAGATATGGGGAACACTATTAGGGCTGTTATATTTATAGCATGTGTATATAAAACAGTTCTTGGATGTAGAACGAAGGTGAGACCCACAAGCTCCAGGGGCAACGTTAGTCTGGGTCATCTGGCCATCTAAACATGGTAGTGCTCTTTTGTTTTATGTTGTCCTGAACACCGTTTGGTGGACTCCTCCCATTCTTTGTGATCATGTCAGGACTATCAGCCAGAGGCTCCATAACCCTGGCCACAGGGGTGGACTCATGGCCTGTGCTGGGCTAATCATAGAGTGTCATCCTTTTGGTGACAGTGATTAGTGGGCACACACACTAGCCAGTGTCCTTCCCTGACATACAAACATTCAGAGAGAGAAGCATGTCTTTCTCTCCTGCTGGGGGTATTCAGCTGGCACCACGTAAGTAAGCATTGAGCTGGGACCATCTTCCTCAGTCACTTCGAAGAAGCCATGCAGTAGGAGACAGTGAGGAAAACCAGGGCTGAGTGATGAAAAAAGAATGGTGCCTGAAAGCACAATTTGAGTCCTTTATTCTGCTTAATCCTCAAATCATTTAATCTAGCCCTGGACCTTCTAGTTTATAATGTGAAATAGTAAATCCCCATTTTTTTTTAAGCCAAAATTATTTGGGTTTTATGTTATTTGCAAAAGGATTCTTGATTAATGCACCACGTAAGTCATTCTACTTTGCTGAGATTTATATCACATGAGTAAAATAGAAATCATAATTTATGCCTACCTTGGTGGGTCCATTTGAGGTTCAGATGTGGGACAATAAGCAAAAGCATTTTGTAGTGTGTGATATATAAGCTATCAATACCACCTCCCTCCCTTTTAGTGGCGTGCTATGACCCTCAGAGTATGTCAGTGGTTTGAGATTGCTGGTGACTGATTCACCTGAAGCTTGGAATAGGAAATGAGAGAAGAGAGAGTGGAGTCAGAAATGGCTTTGTGAGCCGAAGGCAGTTGATGAACCACCAGTTTTGACAGGCATGACCATCACTGTTAGCTTTGACAACCGTGGACCCTGGCTCTTGCCAGAGGTCACTTTACAGGGTAGTTTGGCGTAAGGGGCATTAGGTAGGTACTCCTCAGCAGCCAGATCTTGTTCACTTGCCATATTCACCCCTCAGATCCCAAAAGCAAGATGTATCCCCTTGGGATAAAACATTACCAATGCCAACACTCTAGAGAGGAATAACACATTACCCTGTGAGAAGTCATTAATAACCTTGCATGAAGATGTTTATCAGATCCTTTTCCAAGTTAAATCCCCAAGTTAAGAGGAATTTTGAAGGTTTTGGAATATTGGTAGAAGGAAGAGAAGAAATTCCTGAGTGCCTAGGGAAGCCATGTAGGTGGCCCAGGCCGCTTGAAGGGCACTGAAATCCTGGAAGACGATGAATAAAGGCTGAAAAGGAAGCTTAATATCACTCTTCTGCTGGGAGAGACCGTGAACAATTACCGAGCACCACATCATGCTTGTGATTAAAAAAAAAAAAAACAAAAAAACCTTTACAACCTTGTTTTTATGGGGAAAGTGAAATTCAGAGAAATTCAATATTTGCCCATAGTGGTGGCAGATCTGGGATTCAAACTCAAGTTGTGACATCTTGAGAGCCCTTTGCTTTTCCACACCAGAACATTTTAAATTAGAAAAAAAGTTGTGTATTAGATATCTGGTGATTTCAGACTTCAGGCTGTTTGGGTAAACTCTAGATATATGCCATAACTTGAGTAGGGAGTGGTTATGTATCCTAACTGATTAGAAATCCACATGACCTGTGATATCAGGATAAGGATGAGGTCTTGCCTTTTCATAAATAAAGCTTTAATTCTTAGGTACAGCTTATCAGAGTGTACCCTGTGGGTGATAAAATCCCAAAGAGAATTCACAAACCAAACTAGCAAAAGCAAACATTTCTCTGGCTGGCATTAAGGAGAAGCAAGTTTATTTTAAGTGAGTCATAGATAAAACCCACCTTATATCCCTTCCAGACTGCCCCTGATATTCCACAAGACTTTCTAGACCTGAGCCCCAGGATTGTTCTTAGATGATTCAGCCTAATTCAAAGACTGGTAACAGTCTTTTTTTTCCATGGCAAAACTTCATTCACTTTGACATGACATGGAAGCTGACACTGTACTCATTAGTTGCTCCAGTACATGGCACATTGGAGTGGGGATTTTGTATTTACTTTTATGTTTAACATAAACTAATTTCTAGTCTGTTTATGTCTTTTGCTAATTTCTAATGTGTGGAATGTCAGGGCCAGTCTCTGCTTCTCTCCCCAAAAGGATTTCTTTCTACCACTAGTCCAGAGGTGTGTTAGGTTTAGGGGGCTGGCCATGCTTCTCTCTTTCCTGGGCTTTCGGAGTTGAGAGGGTCATAATGTAGTTTTTCTATGACTACATTACATTAGGCATTTCGAGACTTTGGAGCACAAACTTCTCAGTTTGGACTAGAGGATTTGGCCACAGATGACCCTTTAATTTCCGATTCTAGTTGGTTATCTCTCCCCACTATCATTAGTATGTCTTCCAAGGGAGGATGCTGCCCTAATCAGCAATCAATGGGGTGGAGTTGCATTTGGAGATATATCAAGCAGCATCTTATGGAATCTGAGCCTGGGTATCTGTACGAGGGAAACATAGGATTGAGTATGGACAGGGTACCAGACACACCTGGTTTTGCCATTTAGAGCACTGTGTAAGGTTGAAATGAGATCAAGAGTATAAAAGAGCTTGACAAGTCAGCTTTAAGTTGTTTTCATTAATCAGTTTGAACGCAAGCCGGCATTTTCTGGATCAAGATAAAGGGCTGAAAAGAGAACACGTGACTGGCAAGATGGAATCAGAAAATTCCATTTTTTTGAGGACCTATTTTAGTATCCTTACTTTTTATGCGTCAAATTTTCACCAATCTATAATTATTATGAACAAACTGATCATTGTCAGTAATAACCTGATAGGCTTCTGGGATTTATTTATTTTTTCCAAGAAAGAGAAAATAATTCATGTAGTTTTATTTTCACACTTCACCTATGAGGTAGGGAGGAATTCACACCTGCGTTTTACCAGTAGAGAAGCTGAGACAAACACTACAGGGAATCTACCTCAAGTCATACTGGCTGATCTTTCTCAAAGATCTTAGGAGAAGCCTGGTCTCTTGATCCTACAATCCAGTCTTATCATATTGGCACGGACCCCACAAAGAGCATGGGTGGTGTGTTCACCTGCATGGCAAGGCCAGTACTGTAGATGTCCCCAATGATGCCATTGTCTTTGATCCTCATGCTGATATTCTTCACGGCTTCCTCTAGTACCCGACTGAACAGAATTCTGTAACCTTCCTCTGAACCTTCTGGGATCCTGTTGTACATACAGGTCAGGGCTAAAGTCGCCATCGCTCCTGTGTCTGTGAGGCACGGTTGGCGGGGAGTGGGTAAGACAACCATCACCACAACAATATGAACGACTAACATTTACTGTGTGCTTATTGTATTCCAGCTACATTATCTCCTTTATTCTTCAAGACTGTGAAATAGGACCTATAATTAATTCCATTGAAGGGATAAAGAAATGGAGGCTCATAGAGGCCAAGTAATGGCCCAAGGCCCCACAGCTGGTAACTAGCAGTGCCAGGACCCAGATCTGTATGACTCCACAGCTCATGCTTTTAATTAATGTAGACTGGCCCTTTATTCAATCTCATTTTTCTTGTCCCAGTGTTTATCTTTTAAAAATGTCACTGGTTCTTGAAGGCCCGGCCATCACCACCTCTCAGTGAAACCTTCTTTGGTCTGGCCAGCACCACAGGTGCAGTTTCTTTTCGGAACCTTTTTTTAATATAGGCTCCATGCCCAGCATGGAGCCCAACGTGGGGCTTAAACTCACAATCCTGAGATCAAGACCCAAGCTGAGATTAAGAGTCGGATGCTTAACTGAGTGAGCTACCCAGGCGCTCCTCTTTTCTGAACTTTTTTAGCCTGTGTTGTTTGGACCTGTTTTGCAATCTCAGCACTCTCTGCTCTGTTTTATTGTTACCGTGCTCTGTGAGCTCCTGGATGGTGGGAACTTTGCATCCCCCAAAGCACCCAGCACAGGGTCATTTTCATTATTTGCATGGGAAAGTGTATGTGGACTGAATGAGCAAGCTCTGACAGGACAAGACAGAACAAATGAAAGGCTTGCCAGATAACTTCTTTCTCTGATCTTCTCCTCCCTACTGTAATCTCCACCTGAATTTGTGTAACCTCATTAAGGATGACAGTGTTGTTGAAACCATTGTTGGCCAAGAAGTCAAATCTCCTGAACTGACAGACACCTTGGTAATGCATGAGGTCCCAGATGGAAAATAGAGGCCAGTCTGCTCTTGAGCCATAGGGAGGGTACTAGAGTACTTGATTATTGGTCTGAAAGAGCCTGAAATGAGCGAGTTTGCCTGAAATGAGAGAGGTTGCAGAGGCAGAGTGGATAACAGGGTGAAAACCTGAGATATGCTATTGCTTGGAGAGTGGCAAAGGAGAAAAGGTGACCATGAATGAAGGGCACATGATAATGTCCTCAGAGAGGGTGTTATTCAGAGCTGGTATCATGATCTGCAGAAGGGTGGACAGAAAAGGACATGGTGCTGTAGGGGAAAAAGCTTCCCTTCACAAGCAGCCATAAGGTTACAGAATGAAGAAATAACATGGTTCCAGTGTATCCTTGAAGGGGAGGAGCATGGTGGGTTTAGGGTTCAGAGAGTATCTGTTTACTAGAAAGAGAATATCAGGATGTTATAAGGAGAAACATTGGGAAGGAAGGAGAGGGGAATCATCAGTAGTAATAAAAGAGTGGGTTCAGGGGTGCCTGGGTGGCTTAGTCAGTTAAGCATCCAACTCTTGGTTTCGGCTCAGGTCATGATCTCAGGGTCGTGAGATGGAGCCCGGTGTCTGGCTCCTTGTTCAGTGTGGAGTCAGCTCGAGATTCTCCCTCTCCCTCTCCTTCTGCACCTCTCCCTGCTCTCTTTCTCTAAAATAAATAAGTGAATCTTTAAAAAGAAGAGGTTTCAGGGTAAGACTGAGTCTAGACATTGATTTAATCATTTAAGAATTTGCCTGGGAATAACCGCTGACTTGGGTGACTTGTTTATTGTTCCCAGGAGAGATTCTGTCATTGTCAGATATTTCAGGTATTGTCCTGGATTCTTTGTTTTACTGTCTCCCCTTCATTTATTCCTTAATTCACATGTCCAACAAATATTTCTCAAGTGCCTTCCATCTGCAGACATTTTCATGATCCTCAACTCCTCCTCCATGGAAAGCTCCCCCTCCCACTTTCCCCTCCTGCCTACCTCCCCCATTGAATGCCCTTGATGTTCCCAGCTCAGGGCAGTGTTTGGAAGTGGCAACCAACTCACCCGTATTGAAGGGGGAAGAACTGAGGTACTTGGCAAAGCGGGCTGCTATGGGTAGGGCTGTCTCTGGGTTCTCCTGGCACAGTGCCAGGACCGCCAGACTGGGCCCATAGAAGGTTGAAGCTGGAGCATTGGGGCCTGGGAAGGGGACAGAGGGTCTCTGTAAGATTAACATTCACCATAATGAGGATGTTCATGAAAAAGGTAAAAGTCAAATCTTTTAAGTAGAAATTTCTAGAAAACCTGCCCAAAAAGACTCCATATTGGCAAAAGCTAACTTGAACATTTCTCAGAATAAGAATATTACCTAGCAGGACAAGAGAATAAAAGGGATAGCTGTCTTCGGGTGATGGTGTAAGTCTGTGTCCCCAGGTAGTGGTCTTCTCTGGTTCATTTGGAATCAAAGTGAATATCTCATTGTGGGATTATCTGAGGGATCCTGAGTAACTTGTGTCTCTTCCCTTACTTTCCACTCACCCATCTTTTTCTTTCTAGGCTTAATATTCTCAGGAAGGACCATTTGCCTCACTCTCCCCTCCCTTCTGATGAGGTCTTACTTGAAGGTGGCCAGGTTTCCATTTGTCTCTGTAGAATTGATACTTTATTCCCAGGGTCTCGGCAGGAGGAGTTGAGGGCCATGATGGTAAGGGCGAGCTGACCAATGGTCAGGTCTGTGGAGGAGAGAACAAAACAGTCACAAAGGTATTCTCAGGGGGAGAGTGTGCCAGGGGCCAGGGCTGAGCTCTCTGCTTCTTGTCCAGATCATTTTGATTTTTTAATAAGGTGATTAGATAATTTTTTTAAAAGATTTTATTTTTAAGTAATCTCTACACCCAACATGGGACTCAAACTCACAACCTGGAGATCAAGAGCCACATGTACCCCCACCCCCACCCCCACCCCTCGAGCTAGCCAGGTGCCTCTAGATAGTTTTTTGATCTGGTTTTTCTTAAGGAAAGAAGTATGGAAAAATGCTCAAGGAATGTTTAATCTGGTGACCACTGTGTGACTTGACAACTTCATCAGGAATCCCTGTTATCTAAAGCAGCAAGAGCACCCATACAAATTCATACCTGAAAATAATTTTAACTTTATTATCTAACTTGATCCTCAAGGCAACTCCTGTGAGGTAGGCAGAACAGAGATTTGGTTATTATTATCATTGTTATAATTACTGTTAGTGTCCTTGTTATTAGAATCATCTGCATTTTGCAGACAAAGAAGTGAGGTTGGTCCAGACCTGCGGCCTGTTCAAGGTCACAGAGTTGGTAAGTGGTGGGGCCAGAGCTGCAAGCCCGCTCTTTTTACATCTGGCCTAGAGCTAATTCTGCTCTCCTGCCCAACTCTACAAATGCTCTCACTTCACACATCTTTCTTTCCAGGTACACAGGGAAAGATGCTTTGGTGATTCAGGTACAATCGCAAGTGGCATTGGAGTGGGGGGGGGGGTGTAGAGTTGGGACCTGGGGCTGGAGAATCAGGGAGCATGTGGAGCGGCTCTGACTTCTCACCGGCTGTGTCACTGGCCATGAGCTTGTCAGCCAGGAGCTTCTGGGCCTCCACGTTGTAGGCTCCAGCCAGGTTCATGGCAATCAGGATGCTGGGATTTGGGTGGGCTGAGCTGGTCACAGAGTTCTCCATGAGCACTTGTATGCCATTAACCAAGGGCTGCTGTGCTGGGGGAACAGCTGAGAAGAGAAGAGAAGAGAAACACCATTTACTAAACCCCTAATCCTCTCTCTCTCATCTCAGAAACATGTTTCCCGATCTCTCTGTTAGAAGATGGGATTAGTTAGCATTAGTATTCTCAGGGACACCCTCTGTGGGGGTGATTATTTTTTGGGGGGAGCAGGTGATTATTAAAGAGAGATGGAGAAAACACTGAGATTTTCTTTTGAGGCCAATTAGACCCAACATCTTCTCAAATAACCCTTATATTTATCAAAGTGATTTCTCATTTAGGAAGTTCAAGCAATATGGCTCATGGCCATTTCATATTATTTCTAGCACATTCCTAGAAATCACTGATTTCCTTGTAGTTTTTTCTCACTCTTTTTTTTAAAGTTAATTTTTTTGGGGGGTGCCTGGGTGGTATAGTTGGTTAAGTGTCCGACTTTTGGTTTCAGCTCAGGTCCTGATCTTAGGGTCCTGGGATCGAGTCCCGTGTCAGCTCTGTGCTCAGCGTGGAGTCTGCTTGGGATTCTCTCTCTCCCTCTCCCTCTGCCCCTTCCCACCCCTTTCTCTGTTTCAAATAAATAAATCCTAAAAAAATATAAAGTTATTTGTTTTTTGTTTTTTAGGATTTTATTTATTTATTTGAGAGAGAGAGAGTGTGTGTGAACCTGTGGGCCAGCAGGGAGAGGAGCAGAGGGAAAGGGATAAGCCGACTCCTTATTGAGAGCAGCACCCAACGCAGGGCTCAATCCCACGACCCTGAGATCATGACCTGAGCTGAAATCAAGAGTTGGATGCTCAACTGACTGAGCCACCCAGGTGCCTCCCTTTTTTAAAAGATTTTATTTTTAAGTAATCTCTACACCCTACGTGGGGCTCGAACTCACAACCCTGAGATCAAGAGTTGCATGTTCCTCCAACTGAGCCAGCCAGGCACCCTCTTTTCTTCTTAGTCTTACATGAAAAATATGGAAGACTTGGGATATGACCTGTCCTCAGCAAGTACCAACATCCCCCTAGCAGTGGCACTTGGTCGGAACTGCTCTGAGCATCTCTCTTTGTGCCACCAGCCATCATTCCTGTGCCAGTATTTTGATCTCTCTTAAGGTAAAATGCGTAGACTTGCCTCTCCAAGAACTTATGCTTTTGACCAGGAAAGATGAAGCACGCACTCACCCTGACTCATCTACTTTGAACTTCTGCAGTGATTGCTGTTTTCAATCACTTTCTCCTCAGCAGACCTCCGTGTGTGAGGTTTCCCCCTTTCCCTGGGGGAGCTGCTTCCCTGACCTCTCTGGAAGAACCAGCATACTCACAGCATGAGCTTTGGGTCCAGGTGCTGGTCCCAGCCACAGCCCAGAGAAGGTTCAGGAGGTGGAGGGTGAACCAGGCCATCCCACTCTCTCTTGTCCTGTCTACAGATCCCATGCACAGATCCCCGTTTTGAAAATGGAGTGTTTCTAAAACCCTTCTCTTATATATGCTTCTTTTTGTAAAACAGTCTGCCCTCCTCCCACTCCTGGCCACTCCTAACCACTTATGTTCACCTCTCTTTCTCTGATAGAACTAATTTCCATATGCTTATCTAAGTTCCCTCCTATCAATCCTCCAAGGTGTGTGGAGGTGATTTCTAGGTGGCACACACTTGGGGCTGAGTATGATGTGATGGCAATGATGACAGAGTGTCCTTCACCACAATCCTGGGTCATTACATCAGGAGCATGGCTGGTGTGTGAGGGAGCATAAATGGGCCTTCCTCCTGGGCTTTTGTACACCGGCCCAGACAACCTCCTGGGCTTTTGTACACCGGCCCAGACAACCTCCTGGCTGTTTATCAGCAACCACTTCATTGAAGGTTAGGCAGTTCCTAAGGCACCGTCTTACTTACGGTTCGAGGCACTTGCTTCAAAGTATGTCCTTTTATGCTCTCAGGTGAGGATCTGCCAGGTGAAGTTGGCCTTTATGCAATTAATAAGTTGCTGTGACCTGGGTCCCAGCATAGGCTCTTTAAGGTTGCTTGGCTTCAGGCAAGCAATGGACCTGAGTTTCCCAGAAATTGTATGTTTGTTTGTTTGTTTTTAAAATAGGCTTCATGCCCAGCGTGGAACTCAATGCAGGGCTCCAACTCATGACCCTGAGATCAAGACCAGAGCTAAGATCGAGGGTGGATGCTTAACGGAACTGAACCACCCAGGCACCCTGCTCAGATTGTTTCATTTGATTTCTCTTTCCTTATCTGGGAACAAAGCAGTTTCAAACACCCAGGGCTTTCAGATATTATCGTTTTTTAAATTTTATTTAAAAAATTTTTAATTATGTTGTTATTCATCATCATTAGTTTTTGATGTAGCATTCCATGGTTCATTGTTTGTGTATAACACCCAGTGCTCCATGCAGAACGTGCCCTCCTTAATACCCGTCACCAGGCTAACCCATCCCCCCACAACCCTCCCCTCTGAAACCCTCAGTTTGTTTCCTGGAGTCCATTGTCTCTCATGGTTTGTCTTCCCCTCTGATTCCACACCCCCCTTCATTTTTCCCTTCCTTCTCCTAATGTCCTCCATGCTATTCCTTATGTTCCACAAATAAGTGAAACCATATGATAATTGACTTTCTCTGCTTGACTTATTTCACTTAGCATAATCTCCTCCAGTTCCATCCATGTTGATCCTTTCTGATGGCTGTGAGTAATACAAGGCAAGAAACAACAAATTTTGGAGAGGTTGTGGAGAAAGGGGAACCCTCTTACACTGTTGGTGGGAATGCAAGTTGATACAGCCACTTTGGAAAACAGTGTTCTTCAAAAATTTAAAAATAGAGCTACCCTATGACCCAGCAACTGCACTACTGGGCATTTACCCCAAAGATACAGATGTAGTGAAGAAAAGGGCCGCATGTTCGTAGCAGCAATGTCTGCAATAGCCAAACTGTGGAAGGAGCCGAGATGCCCTTCAACAGATGAATGGATAAAGAAGATGTCCACATATACAATGGAGTATTATTCAGTCGACATCTTGATTGTGGCCTCATTGAGAGACCCTGACCACAGAAACTATGAGATAGTACATCTTGTTGTTTTAAGCCATTAAGTTTTAGGGTGACTTGTATTATTAACTAATACATGGTATATGTTGGGAGATGAGGCCAGAAAGACAGTTTGAGGGCTTCACATGCCATGTGAAGGAGTGGTAGGCACAATTATGCCCTCCCCTCAACCCCACACACCTATCCACATCCTAATCTCTGAAATCTGTGAATATGTTAGGTCACATGGTAAGTGGGAACTAAGGTTGCTAATGAGCTGATTCTTACGTAGAAATTTTGGATTATCTCGGTGGACCCACTGTAATCAGAGGCCCTTATAAGTGGAAGAGGGAGGCAGGAGAGTGAGTCAGAAAAGGGGTTGTGGTGATGGGAACAGAGGTCAGACTGTTACAAGTGCTGGCTTTGAAGGTGGAGGAATGCTGGCCTCTCCCAGAAGCTGGAAAAGACGAGGAAACGGATTCTCCCCTAGAACCTCTAGAAGGAATGCAGTCTTTTCAACACCTTGATTTTATCCCAGTGAGATCCATTTTTTACTTCTGAGCTCCAGAACTGTACGATGATATGTTTGTCTTAAGCCAGTAATCAGTGGTAATTTGTTGCAGCAGCAATAAGAATCTAACACAGGATTAGGATCCCAGCATGGCATTGACCTTGGGTTCCAGAGCCTGCTTGTGACTGTCCTGAGATGAGCCACACCCCCTTGGTGTGCCTGCTCTTTAAACACACATTTCCTTATAAATTGCTATTTATAGCCATGGTTGCTGCAAGACTGATTATGATACAATTGTCTCACTTAGCAAATAACTTCCACAGCAGGAACCACACAGGCCATACTTTTCTTAACTCATATATTTCAACAGTCCTTGGCTAACTTTTGAGAGAACTAATTTTTTTTAAGAGATAGGGGGGTGGGAGGGGGAGGGGGAGGGGCAGAGGGCAAGAGAGAGAGAGAGAGAATCTCAAGCAGGCTCCATGCTGAGCACAGAGCCTGACATGGACCTTGATCTCATGACTCAGATCATGACCTGAGCCAAAATCAAGAGTCAGATGCTCAACTGACTGAGCCACCCAGGCATCCCTTGACTGAAACTTACTAATTTACTTGTCTGTTTTCTCCTGTGCCTCATTTTCTGGTATCCAAGCACCCAGACTCTCAATGGACATCTGAGGGGTTTATTTGTGTCGATTATTCTCTGCTGTGGCAGCAGAGGGAAGTTTATCCCCTCAGGCTCAATCTCAGTTCTGTCATAGTGCTAAGCTTTAGAGCTTCTCATAAGGCAAGGGTGGCCAGAGCTAGGATTCCCTGGGCAATGTCAGTAGAACGTGAAGGGAATGTTACTCCATTTCCCTCCATGTCTGTTTCTGAGATTAAATGCATTCCTATCAGATAGCAATGTTACTATATTCTACTATGGGACCAGTGGTTAGGAGAAACTGAGCTTTGTCTGTTAAGAGTGGAGGCTCACAGTGCTACAGGGAAGTGTTAGAAACACAGTGGAGTAAAGTGAGATTTTATGTTTGATCCAACAAGAGGAATTAAATGAAAATTGCAAAGGAAATGACTTTTTCATGCTGTGATTGCATGTTATTTGATTCCGTGTCAGTGTGCCCATTAGAATATCCTTATACCACATTTGGGAGAATAGGTCTAATACAAATTGTGTGCTTTACCGGTGTTGACTGGTTATTATTGAAAGTGAGCTAGAATCATTGAGAGAGTCAGCAATCTCAAAGGGACCTATTCCAACTTTGTTATTTTGAGATTCAATTTCATTGGTCCATTGCAGGGTCAATACTTCCTGTTATTTTTTGCTTGAGCTTCCTTATTTTTCCTGATGGACAAAACCAACCATATGTACTCTTTTTTTCCAGGATACTACCAGTTTTTTTTTTTTAAAAATTTTATATATATTTTAGAGAGAGAGAATGAGAGAGAGCACATGAGAGGGGGGAGGGTCAGAGGGAGAAGCAGACTCCCCGCGGAGCAGGGAGCCCGATGCGGGACTCGATCCAGGGACTCCAGGATCATGACCTGAGCCGAAGGCAGTCGCTTAACCAACTGAGCCACCCAGGCGCCCTGTTTTTTTTTTTTTTAAGATTTTATTTATTTATTTGATAGAGAGAGACATAGCGAGAGAGGGAACACAAGCAGGGGGAGTGGGAGAGGGAGAAGCAGGCTCCCGGCCGAGCAGGGAGCCCGATGCAGGGCTCAATCCCAGGACCCCGGGATCATGACCCGAGCTGAAGGCAGATGCTTAACAACTGAGCCACCCAGGTGCCCCAGGATACTACGAGTTTTTAATCTGTCTTTTTGAGTGTAATTATTAACAGTGTTCACTTTCACTCTTTCAGTGTTGTGGTTGGATGATAAGTCATGCTATGTATGATAGACAGGAATGGCACTTATAACATTTTGCATATTTATCACCCTAAGCCATTATCCCTCAATTTCGCTTGTAGAGTCTACAAACAGGTCTGAGAGCTGCTGCCCCAGGTGAACAGCACCATGGAGGTCCCCTGTCTCTAACTTAGCTTTTAAGATGAGACACAGACCCAAGGGGATAGAATCCATTGCTGTCTAGTTATCTGTCATATCCAGTTAATGAAGAATAGGGTGGAGTTGACCCTGAGGGTTGAGGACCAGTACCAGAAAAGCAGTGGTCAAACCCTAACAATAAAGCAGGGTTGCTGGTGGAGGGGAGAAAGCTAAGAGTATCGTGAAGGAAACACAGGAGGAATGAGGGAGACATTGATAAAATAATTTAATTCTGCCTGAAGGCATCTTCCTTTTGGGATTGCTTTATTTAAAGATTTAATTTTTTATTAGAGTGAGATAGAGAGAGAGAAGGGTAAGGAACAGAGGGGGAGGGAGAGGGAGGAGGCGAAAGAATCTCAAGCAGACTTGGTGCTCAGCATGGAGCTTGCTGTGGGGCTTGATCTCAGTGAGATCATGACCTGAGCCAAAATCAAGAATGGGACACTTAACTGAGCCACCCAGGCACCCCCGATTTTTATTTTTATTTTTAGATTTGTTTATTTGAGAGAGAGAGAGAAAGAGAGAGAGCGTGAGCTGGGGGAGGTGCAGAGGGAAAGGGAGAGAGAGAATCTTCAAACAGGAGCCCAACACCATTGATCCCAGGATCAATGACCTAAGCCAAAACCAAGAGTCAGCCACTGAACTGACTGAGCCACCCGGGCACCTGTAGGTGCCCCTGATTTAATATATATATATATTTAAAAATGTGAATTCTACTGAAATGAACATCAAAGGTGATTTTTTTCTGCATGTGTATTTTGATGATATGACTATCAGAGTGATTTTTACGGTGAAGTAAAAGGAAAATACATGTGGAGAGGAACAAATGGAACCCAAGGGAGCTAGCTGGAGGAGGGGATGATATTATTCCTGAGACTTTATGGACTGATTTTTTATGTAGAAGTCTCACCTTTCCCTCTTTCTCCAGAGCAGTATTTTTCTCTCTACCCACTGCTTTTCTGAGGTCAATATGTCCACTCAGTTTGTCCCTTACATCTGGGCCTCAGAGAGCTATCCCCCTACAGATTTTCTACCTGATCTCATTGGCTGCTGCTTCAACATTAGATCTAGAACCTTATCTCTATTCCCACCTGCTGCCTGAGGTCACTCACACAGTTAGCAGTGGAACTTTGAGTAGAACTCCGATTAGACACGTGGTCTAATCTCTTTTCCCTTCCCTCTTCCCTCTATCAATAATCCCCCTTTAAAATGAACTGAATAGAACATGCTCTTTTTGTATTGCTGTTGATCTTTTATTGAACACACAAAGAGAGAAGGGAGGTTGTTGACGCTCCTTTTGAAATTGAGATGAGAGAAAAGGAAGGCATGAGGCCAGTCTCTGCATACAAATCCACTGCAAAAGGATTTGATCCAGCTGAGGAAGGTTTGAATTTATTAGTATGTGCTCCAACGAACCTCCAGATCATCTCCAGCATGGACGACATAACTACCAGCTCCTGAAAAGGAAGAATAAGAAGTGGATCAAATGATTATTTTTTAAAGATTATTTATTTTAGAGAGAAGGAGAGCCTGAGCAGGGGGAGGGGCAGAGGAAGAGGGAGAGATTCTTAAGCAGACTCTCCGCTGAGGGTGGAGCACTAATGGGGCTTGATCTCACAACCCTGAGAGCATGGCCTGAGCTGAAACCAAGAGCTGGATGCTTAACCAACAGAGCCACACAGGCATCCAATGGGTCAAATGATTTAATCACCAAATCACCAAATAATGGATCTAACTTTCCCAATGCCTTGGTACATTCCTCATCAAAGCTCACACACTCACATCTGGATGTTTGGGGGCATTGTCACTCTGTGGGGCTTTTTAGCACTCTCTCCCTTACCTTTGCTCAGGTGTTCGCCATTGCTCAGGAGCTCCCAGTAGGTATCATTAGTGTTGGCCTTTATGCCCCGAACAGTGGTGATGTAGGGGCCCCATGAGGTCTCCTCTGCTGTGAAACTGTGGGGACAATAAATGGGTTACAGGAACTTAGAATTTTCAAAGGCAACCTTCCATGGGCATTTCTCAAACTTCAGTGTACCTAAGCATCATTTGAAGCCATTATCAAGAAAAGCAAATTTCCTGGCCCTATCCTCAGATACTTTGATTCTGTAGGTCTGGGCGGGGACTAGGAGGAATCTGCATGTGTCATAAACACTCCAGGTGATTCAGATGCAGGCACTCCACAATCTATGCTAAATTAGAGGAATGATGCCTATTTCTGCCCCTGCCTCCCTTCATGGTAGACACTCTGTAGTCAACAACTGCTAATCTTCTACCCGAAGATAGTAACTGTTAAAGGGGTGTGTGTGTGTGTGTGTGTGTGTGTGTGTGTATAAATAAACTTTCTCTATAGCATCTTACATCATGTTACTAGACAAAGTAAATGCCGATTAGATTTAGGGAGTCAAATGAACCATACCTTTCAGAGGCAAAGTCAATATCTTAATTTTAATATTTGGCCTCTTTAGGCCAGCTAACCTTAATCTAGGGGTCCATGAATCTCAAAGGGAGGAGTATGGAGAGACTTAAGGGCATTTGTGAAACCTCTGATTTAAAGGACAAGTTTTGTGTGTATGTTCACCTGTCTGGGATCAGCATCCACAGTAACTCGTCTGATTTTCAAAAGGGTCAATGATTAAAAAATAATGACCCAGTGTCCTGAACACACAATGACTGACCTAAGAGGTTCTCTTTGTTGAAGGCATTTACTGACAGAAGAGAGATCCCTGGGCCTTATTTACCCATTAAGTGAACATTATAGTACCTACTATGTGCTAGAAGATGAAAAGTCTCACCTTTTCTTAACCCCTGCCATGAGATGTAGATGGACAGCAAAGTACCAATAAAGAAGTGTTTCGAATGTACTTTGTATTCAGGTGCTTATGTATTCTTACTGAGTCTTTCAAAATCACCAAATACCTTCTCCACTCAGGATCCTATATCAGTGACACCTGCTGTTTCAGCCTCACAAATCAAAGTAAATTACTCTGTGGTAATCAATAATGCAAAAGATCGCATTGTGGTCTCTGTGGCACCTTAGGTTATGTACAGACATACCTAAATAGAGTTGCATTTTCTTTCTGAGCTTGTTCCATCACATCTAGGAAGACAGAACCATCTGCCACAGAGATAAAAGTCAAGTATTTTTTCATCCCTTGTTGAAAAATCAGTTGTTTGAATAAATGATTCATGATCTGATTTTCTTATAATACTGCCATAATCCTCCCATATTCCTCTGAGCTCCCTGAGGGCTCACTCATTGTGAGTGAGAGTCAGAGACACCGTACTTTGCTTAGAATGAGAATGATGCTCAGAACATCTGTCTAGCTGGCCATGAGAAAACATGCCTTTGGAGATAGACATCACTGAATCAAGTCTACCTTGTTTATCCATGTTTGAACCAAGAACAACATCTACTACTACCCTGTTAAGAACAAATCCTCAGGTGGTTATAATCACTGGTGACACATGGAGGACCGAGTTCTATCTGGGAACTGTTATGCTTTAGTGTTTATCTGGTCACTTTTGGTACCTAAGAACACCTTGGTCTCGCATGCTTTGGGTAATATGCTCTTTAGTACTCTACCTGAGCCATAGACACAAGAAGAGTCTTTATTAACATCCAAGTAGGTCTTTCCCATCAGGGCTGGTAAGATCTGAGCTGCAGCAGTTGGCATACGAAATGCTCCTTGAGAAATTTCTGTGAGCACTGTATCCCGTGTTTTTTGGCAAACCCATTGACTTTTGTTGTAATAGTTTGATGAGACAAAGAGAGCCTAATGTGTGAGAGAGAGGGAATGAGAATGAACTACAGAAACATCAAATAAGGGGAAAGCCTACATCTAATGAATTCAGTAAATATTTACTGGACATTGACCACAGGGAAAGTACCTTGGACAACTAGGATACCTTTCCTGCCACCAAGAAATTTATAAACTAGTTTGGGGGGAGATGGGGAATTGCTTAAGAACACAACCGATAATGGCATCAATGAGAACAGACTTTCTCTACCTATTCATTCTTGTAGCCTTAACACTGGAACAATACCTGTCCCATAGGAGACACTTGATAATTGCTATTAATAATCATAAAGAAGCCCCTAAGGTGAATGCCTTAAGAGAAGCATCTAGTGCCATGGTGTTTCAGAAGAGGAAGAGCACATAAACATTTAGTGACCCTGAAGAAAGTCTTGGTGGAGAAGGCAGTACTTGAGGTAGGGCTTGACAGTATGACAGCATTTCAGTAGGAGACAGGAGAGGAGCACTATACCCAGAGGGAATAGCATGATCAAGGATGTTAGAGTAGGTGTGGCCAGGGCATGGCCTGTCTGTGATGATACTCTCTGCATCTTAGCAAAATTCCCAAGGGATTCCTCCTGGCCTGGGAGGACTGATGTTCAGTGGAGACTCAGGGTGATTGTGGAAGAACAGGTTGGAGAATGAGGTTGGGGCCACATTGGTGGACCCCTGAGCTTCAGGGTGGGGTGTCTGACATTATTTGCTTAACCAATGGGGAGTCAAACAGCTTCTTGAATAGAAACTATCCAAGCAGCAGATGTAAACTGGAGGGGACAGCATTATGGGGTAGGAAAAGTTAGTAAGGTATCAGAGTGAGTAAGATGAGGACTAAAACGGTTTGGTCCTGCAGACATCGCTCTGTAGTTTCTTGGGGGAAGGATAGTTTCTCTTTTCATTTTCTCTGGAAGACCCTTTAAGTTAACCAAGAAGTCAACAAGCATTTGTGGGATATTTAAAAAAAGGATCATATTTCATTTCCTCTTAAAAACTGTCTTGTAGGCAAGCAGCTCTCAAGCCTTCTGTGAATTAACTTCACCCACAGGGTTTTGAAACCAAACCAAGGGCCATGCTCCACCTCTAAGTTTCTATATCGACTGGCTGGTGTAGAGCCTAAACCTTAGTGTTTCCCAAAAGCTCCTCCAGGTGATTCAGATGTGCAGCCAGAATGGGGAACCACTGTTTTATGAAGTCCAAAATCATCAAGGCAGACAGCAGCATCAACAGCACCAACAGTAAAAGCCACCTGTGTGATTGGACCCCTGTTACACCCCCAGCTTCTTCTTGTAGTTTTTCCCAAGGACCCTGCACTGGCCACGTTGAACACCTTGATCTTCCTAAAATACATTATGTTCTTTCGTGCCTTTACCTTTGTCCTTGCTGTCCTCTCTCCCTTGGAAAGCCCTCTCATCCTGGGTTGGCCTGGCAGACCCCTACTCATTCTAAAGACTCAGTGAAATTTTTTCCTGTAAATCTTCCTTCATTTCTTCTTGTGTCTACTCCTTAGATTTGAGTAAATCAGCGAGTGAATGCAGGAATAAAGCCCCAAACTTCAAGGAACATATACAGGACAGAGTAGGTGCTGAGGGTGAGTTTTGAAACCAACTGTTTAGGTTCTATCCGTGTCTGAATTACTTTTTGGCTTTGTAATATTAGGCAAGTTACTGATGCTCCATGACTCATGCTCTTATTCAGGGAAATGGAGGTAATATTTTCCTCATTGAATTGTTGTGTGCATTAATGAGCATGGCAATAAATATTAGCTAGTATTACTGGTGCTGCCTCTTAGTACTTGGACAACAATAATCTAATTTGGGAAGTAAGAGGAAAGCACCAAATGCTGGTATATGGTGAAGTGTGAGATTGCATTTGATAGAACAACACAGTAGCTTGTAATGGACTCTAGAATTTCTCAAAAAAGTTGTAGTCAGGAAAAGCTTCATGGAAGCATTAGACATGGAAAGGTAAGGATCTAAGGTGAGGAAAATACATTTCCATCAGAGGAGAGGAATTACATAAAATCAGTTAGTATAGGAAAGAGAATGGGTAATATCTTAGGGACCAAAAAGAAAGGATACAGATATTCCTTTCCTTCCTGACTTCCTTCTCTGTCTCCTGTTTTACCCTCTGACTTACCTGCATAGCTTCTCCTGTACTATATATGTTTCCAAGGAGACCATTTTCTGTTTTCTGAGATAGAATCTTCCTTATCAGTAACTTTATATGATTATCAATATTGTTTAAATCCTTTGTATCTATTTGGTTCTGCCCTCTTGTTTTGCTCCTCACACAGATCAGAGCCAGGACAACCATCGCGCCAGTATCTGCCAGGAAACAAAACATTGGTGTTAGAGTGACCAATCATTCCAGTTTGCCTTGGACTGAGGGGTCTCCTGGTATGTAGGATTTTCACTGCTAAAAGAGGGACAGATCTGGACAAACTGGGAAGATTGGTCATGCTAATTGATGATGAGAGAGAAGGATTTGAAGATATAGCAATCATCCTTCCAGCACTAACCTCTCAAATACTTCAAGATCCCTTCCTTATGTTGAGTAACCCTGTACCTTGTACACAATAACTCACCTGTTGGTCATAGAAACACATACGGATTTGCAGGCGCATGCACATGAACAGTTTTCCACTTCTACATCTTGGTTGTTCTCATTTTTTCATCTCTCAGCCATATTGAGAGAATTCAGGATGATACCCTAAAGAAAATATGTTTTTGCAATGTTCCAATGTTTCCCTTAGGCTAATTAGAAAATAGCACTTAAGAGAATTGTTTTCCAATAAAGCTTCTTAAGGGGGAGGATGAGGCAAAAGTTTGGAAGAAGGGAGGATAAGATCTTTTTTTCTGGCTTGTTACTTGGTCCTCCCTGGATTCTTTAGGTGTGGTACCTTCCCTCTCCCATAGAAAGAAATCTCATATTCTCCTTACTATCCAGAGATACTGAGTGGTGATTTTCTTTGGGCTTCTTGGAGAAAGATGAGCTTGTGTATCTGGAGCCATAGGGCTGAGCAACAATACTAGCTGCCTAGAAGGGGCTTCTTTTTGGATGTGTAAGCTGACCCAGGAGAAAATTTCTAGTCCTTCTCTATTGGAGATATAGACTTTATTGTCAAAATATTGGACCTTGTCCATGGAGAGCTTGTATTGTCCAAGTAAGCCCACACATCCAATTGGTCCCAATAAATTAGAGAAAGAGGCAAAGTTAAGATAAATGAATTCCACTGTTTTCCTGCCGCTAATACTTATATTTCCTAAAATGTCTTATATTAAGATTCTCACAATCTATCCTTATTTTACAGATGGGAAAATTAAGGTCAGTGTTAACACCCATTGTTTATGTAATTCAAAGAAGAGGTAGGGTAGGAACTGGATCTTTCTACTATAGTACACATCTAGAAAGATGCTTAAATGCCCCCCGATATCCATTCTTCTCAAAAAGAAAATTCTCTTCCCTGATTGCTAGGGTAAAGAGGATAAAAAAAGTCCAAGTACTTACTGGTAGAAAAACTCAGAGGAAAAGACTTACCAGTGATTGTGTCCTCTATGCCAAGGGAATTGGATGTCATGACTCACCTACTGAGAACTGTTCATGGAAATAGTAATTTTTATTTCCAGGTTTGAAGATTTCAGCAACTTTAGGAATTGAGTAATTCCCACTGAACAGACACAAGGCCAAAACATCCAGGCTGAGCTGGTAGTAGCTAGTCAGTGGATTACCATCATGGTCTTCTGTCAGAGAGGTAAGTAAGAAATACCTTACTCATGGAAATAATACTGGAGTAATAAATTTTCAATCTATTCCTACTTGCTTAATTAGAATTTGTTTACATTTAAGGAGAGGGGAGTAATAGAGGGGAGGGAGATCACTCATAGAATCAACAAACCTGAGAAATGTAAAGGCTGTTAGGGACCACCAAATTCAACTCAACTCCTTTCATTTTTAACTGAGGAGACTCAGCACTAAAGAGATTAAAATGCCATCTTCATACTCAGGTGGTTACAGAACTAGGCCTAGAACACAGATTTCCCACCACTAAGCCTCTTGCACTTTCAATGGAAATGTGTTTAAACTATAAGTAGAAGTAGAAGAAGTAGAGGCCATTTCAAAAGAAGATGGGATCAGAGCGGCCTAATGAATAATAGGATAAATAAAAACAATGCACCTCACTAGCAGCGGTCATGATCAGCCTATTTTTCCCAGTGATAAAGTACTTTTGGCCATCTTTAGCTCTTCTACTTGTATCATATGCTTTGGTACTTCTGACATAGTGTCTTGTGTTGCTCAGCTATTTCTGGTGTATTTCATTATTTGTCTAACAGCCAAGCTTCTGGAGAACAAGAGAACTGTGTTCGGTAAGTTTGTGTGTGTGTGTGTGTGTGTGTGTGTGTTCATCATCATATATAAGGTTGGTGTAGAGTCGATGCTTATTTGCACCTATTTGAAAAGAAAATTCAAGATGCATGTTGAAAGAGGGAAGATGGGAAAGTGATCTGCAAAGATATGTGGGATGAACAGAATGAAGAGGAGAAGGAAAGACCAAAGGGAAACTGTTCAGTTCTGAACCAGTGGAGGAGAAGATAAGGTTGTCCAGGGTATCTGAACATTTGATTCTCACCCATATTTTTAATTTCTGCTTGGAATTTATTTTCTAGGTCTCCGACGAGTTCAGAATAATTTATAGAAATTCCATCAGGCCCTTTACATGCTCCCAAAGCCAGTATAGCCAACGTAAGCTGTCCCGAGGTTAAAGATGGCTCTGAAAAGAAAAGTATTCAAGTTTAACGAGGTACATGCTTGTGATTTTTCTTTGGCCTCCTGTGTTTCTTGTGACTTACATTGCCTGTCAATTCTCTCTTTTTTTCCACTCTATACCAGTATTTTACTGTTCTCTTATTTATTCCCAAAGCAGAGACTTTTCTAGCAGTGCTGTATAAATGCAAACTAGATCTGAGTCTTCCCCATGCAATCATGAGATGTTTTTGGAATCACACAATCCTTATAAAAATTTTAAAAGAAAAAAAATAGATAATAAAACCTGGGGATTTATTCTCTGTGGGTGCCATCTTGCCAAGATAGTAATAATTGACTTAGGTGTTCTGCCTTATAGAATATCAAAGTTCTCAGGCTTCTCTTAATTCTTAAAATAATATTGTGAGGTAGGTAGTGGTGGCTTAATTTTCCCCTTATTTCAGTTAGAAAGCTAAGGCTCAGTATTGACATGAAGGACTCAGTGGGGAGCCTGCACTCAACCCCAGTCCTCATCAGGGGCACTTGCATTGGCTTAGTTGGTTAAGTATCTGACTCTTGATTTCAGCTCAGGTCATTGTCTCAGGGTTGTGGGAATGAGCCCTGCATTGGGCTCTGAGTGCTGAGCGTGGAGCCTCCTTAAGATTCTCTCCCTCTCCTTCTGTCCCTCCCCCTCCTCTCTAAAACAACAAAACAAAAACAAAAACAAAACCCAAAAACCCAGTACTCACCTCTATTAACTTGTGATTCCCTTGCTATTGTCAGCTTTCTTACTTATGGGCCATATCACTGTCTGGTTGTGAACTCAGCTAGCTTATAGAACAGTATTAGTGGGTAAGAGTCTATAATTTCTTTTGCTTTTCCTTGTGACCTTTTGAAGAAAAATGTTTTCCAGGACTCAAAGAAGTAAGGTCTCACTGTAGAGTAAATGGCACAGATGTGATGTTTTGAGGTATCTTTCTGTCCTCTCATGTTTTATACAGCTAGGATAGATGTAGCAGGGAGACTTTGGACACACAATTTTGTCCAAAGATCTCTTTCTGAAGATAATCTTTGTGGATAGATAAATCTTCTAAATCTTCCAGAGAATGAAGGTACTCACCTGTACTTCTCACAGTGAGAATGAATTGTTCCATCAGATGTTGATCTTGGTTTTGGTTCAGGAACCCACCAAGTCGGAGGGACAGCAGGACTTTGGCAGCTTGGATTCCTTTGGTATAATTTGAATTGATCATTGTATGTATCAGAGGTTTTAGAGCAGTTTTGTTCTCTTTGCTTACCTCTGTGGCAGGAGAGGGAAGAAATAAGAATTACACACTAAGAAAATATTAAGGAACAGGAACCCTAGGAACAGGGTTGGTATTAAAATGTTTAGTAACAGATATGACACAGACAGAGCAATCCAGTGGTCACTGGTTATGTTGCTGGAGCAGTACAAAGGTGGGTCTGGAGTCTCTGTTACATCAGGTATTACTCTTTTACCAACCAACAAGGAAGTGTTTCCATGTTTTAACAGCTGTTTCAGGTGTACTAATGTGTATTGACAGAACATCAGTCTTGCCTGGGAGATCTAGTATCATTCACTAATTTTGAGGATGAGGCCTGACCAGGATGTCCTTAAAGAAACATCTATAACTGAAGGCTTAATGGAAACTAGAATATACGTCTTCTGAATCCCAGTCCTTTCTACTTGCTGGATTGAGTTCTTTCCCTCCTCCATCTTTTTCTAACTCAATCAGGTTAATATTGAGGGAAGGAAGGCAACAGTTCTATGTTATGGTGGTGATTGACCCCAAAGCTGAATTGTCTGGTTGCCCAACCGACCTGGCATCAAGATCATTATTCAGCAGCATGCACCTTTCAGAAGACCCTCTAGTCTTAGCCTACAACATGCCCAAATCTCAAGGGAAAGGATGGTGGAGTCACATTCTACTGTGGAAGTAAAAAGAGAGTCTAGAGACCTCAAGAACTGGAGGAAAATTAGAAGAGTTAGTTACCACTTAAAACATTTTTAAATGAACTTTGTTCAGGGGTGCCTGAATGGCTCAGTCGGTTAAGTGGCCAATTCTTGATTTTAGCTCAGATCATGATCTCAGGGTTGTGGGATCAAGCCCCGCATTGGGCTCCTTGCTCAGCTCAGAGTCTGCTTGAGATTCTCTCTCTCCCTCTCCTTCTGCCCCTCCCTCAACTTGCGGTCATTCTCTCTCTCTCTGTCCCTTTCTAAAATACATAAATAAAGTTTTAAAAAAATGTACTTTGTTGACACTCCCCCCAAAAATCCTACCCATCTCCAGATTATCTCTTGGGTTAGTGAGATATTGAAAAGAGCATGAGCTCTTTGTTCAACCAGATCTTGGCTGGATTCTCTGGTCCTTAACTTATGACTATGGGTGATTTATGTAACTTTCCTGACCTTCAATTTCCTCATTTTAAAATTGTGGATATTAATACCTATTTCATAGATATTGGACAAAAAATCACTTAAAAAACTGTAAATACCACACATATTATCTCTTTTAGCTCAACTGGAGTTTCTATCACTATATTTAGAGAACTGAGGCAATGTGAGTTCTCTACCCCCAATGTGGGGCTCAGAATCACCACCCCGATATCAAGAGTCACATGCTCTACTGACTGAGCCAGTCAGGTTCTCTCCGTCTTTCTTCTCTTTAAAAGAGGGTCAGGGAGATCTGAACCAGTGGTTGTAGAAAAGTCCTGGTTTATTACAAGAACAGTTGGACAATTGTTGAGTCATGGCTGAGATTTTGTGGAAGCATCCAGTTCAGTAGAAACAGACTTTTCAGTTCCTGGTCAACCACTCATTAGTTTCCTTGACCATTAAAGACAAAGCTAATTATTTTATACAATGAATTAAACTTCAAAACCTCCACAGAGACCCTCTATTCTTAGGATACAACAAAAGAAATGACAGGCCAGGAAGAAAAATTAGAGTTGGCAGAGTTTGTGCTTTAACTTGTGTGAACACAGACTTTCTGCTGTGGTGTTGACCTCTTCTTGTAGGCTACAGAATATCAGGAGCATGTAGCCACCGATGCACCCTATAGTCATCTTTGGACTGTGTTTAAACTCAATTCCAGGTTAAAGACATAAAAAAGAGAAACCATGCACCTGAGATCTATACCAGGCTTCATAACATCACTTCCCCAATTAACCTCAATTTATGGATGAAGCTAAAAAAAATTCAGAAACATTGGATCATTCAGCTACTACAGGGTCAGACTACACCTGAACCAGTTTTTCTTTCTCCTACTTAGTATTTTTTGAAAGACTCACACAATCTTGGGATCCTATACCCAGAGGAGAGATGATGAGCTTGTACCCATGTCCTATGGGGATGAGTTGGAGGGAGGGAGATGTGTAGCTTGCAACATGTAAACTCAATAATGAAAAGAGAGAAGTCTTTGTTATTTGAAAGGGATTATTAACATTATTTTTTTTTCTGTATAGTTATAAGGGGTTAACCCAAAACCCATGGGTTGAACTTCAAAAAAATAGATTGCCTCTCAAATTCAAAAGAAAACTTTCTATGATCTTGAAAAATTTCTGGGATCCTGAATATTCTACATTGAAAATGAAGAATAATAGACAGTTGCTTGGTAGGGTTGTTATGGTGGAGAAAATCTGAATATGGAAGAAGAGTTTGAATCTATGAGTTGAATCTATGACTGCTCTTAAAACAACATACATTATGGAACTTTCCTCACCATGTCCTATCACCATTTACATTATTCGAGCTCAACCACATATAGAACTGGAATAGGATCTTTTCTCAGGTCACTCCACACAAGTCCTCTGCCAGTAGACTTTAGAAAACTATCACACCAAGAGTAATTTTAGCCCAATGCATACTCACTGCAGATCTCGCATTGTTGCCTTGGAATAAGAGAAAACAAGAGGAGCCCCACTAGGGGCAGCTGGTGGGATTGTCCCATCTCTCCAACAGTGTTCTGTAATGGTAAGAGCTTGTCTGGCTATTTATTGGGTGATGGCAGAGGGTAATGAGAGTTCCTCCTTTAGCTTGCCTCAACCTCTTTCACGCAAGCAAATACTGCACAATGTCGGGGGTGTGGTGTGGTTAAGTTTATTTGTCCAAGAATTGTGATAAACCAGGAAGAAGACTTGAAAGGTTTGGTCAAGGAGGAAGAGGAAATAATATTTTTTGTTTCCTATCCCAAACTTTAGGATTCACATTCCTTACTTGCCTTCAGCCCAATGAGAATAAATTAAATTTCCCTGTTTCCCATTCTACTTTTGTTGTGTTTTATTTATGTCCCTTGAAACATTAGATTTGGGGTGCCTGGGTGGCTCAGTCATTAAGTGTCTGCCTTCAGCTCAGGTCATGATCCCAGGGTCCTGGGATCGAGCCCCACATCAGACTCCCTGCTCAGCGGGAGGCCTGCTTCTCCCTCTCCCACTCCCTCTGCTTGTGTTCCCTCTCTCATTGTGTCTCTCTCTGTCAAATACATAAATACAATCTTAATAATAATAATAATAATTGCTCTATAAAAAAAAGAAACATTTGATGGGGCAAGGGCTTAAAACATATAAAAATGGAAGTAGAATTTGTAAGACTGAAATTGAACCAGGCAAGGTGGGGGAGCCTGGTACCTGAGGATCTTTGGCATAGTGGTTTTGATATTTGATTTTCTTCTGTGATAGGTGCCCTTAGGGTTTCATAGCCCAGGAGGAACCCCACAGAGATAATATATCAAATGTGGATTTTTGTTGTGCTAGGAAAGATGCTACAAGCTCCACGTGAGAATTGTTGTCTATCATAGGTCTTCCAAGAACTATTAGAGAATACTATCATTTTGGCCTTAAAATGTTTGCTCTGGTCAGCAAGATGGCAGAATAGAAGGTTCCCTGCTCATATGCCCCTACAGCAACAATCATTTTAGCAGCCATCCATGGACCCAAGTTTCTATGTGGGAGCTTTGGGTTCCAAGTAGGAGGTGAGAAACCTCAGTGGAGCCACCAAGGACAGCTGTATTGAAAAGGCACATCAAAGAAGAAAGACTTGAATTCACAAAAGTTAAAGCACAGAATTAGAATTTGCCAATTCTGATTGTTCTTCCTGGCCTTTTCCCCTTTTGCTCCCTGAAGAGCCAGGCTCACTGACCATGGTTCTGGATACAGACCAGAAAACAGCCTCATCCCCTTGTGGGCTTGGCTATAGCCCTGTTTTGGCATTGGTCCTGGGACCTGGAAGGTATCATGCCCACCTGAGCCTTGGGTGATACTGACCTTGTTTAGGGCTGTGGAGCCTGAAGCATTGTGACTTAGCTCCAACATAGCCGTGGTCTGGGAGAAGGCTTGCCCACCCAGGGACCTAGCAGGAGACACACCCATCAGTGCCTAGGAGGCAGGCTGGCTGATCGTGGTCCAACTGTGGATCCTGAAATGACTCCGTGACCTGGCCCCATCCCCTCTTAGCTGTGGTTCAGGGACGGTCCTGCCCATGCAGGGACCTGTCCAGTGACCCAGCAGGAGCCAGGACCATCGTGCACCTGATAATAGACTTGTGGTTTGCAGACCCAACTGAGACCCAGCAGCAGCCAGGTGGCCCAGTTCCAGCCTTGCATGACTGTGATCCCAGAGGCAATCCTATCAGTCCAGGGGCCTGACAGGAGAATGTCTTTTGCATGTCAAAAACAGGCTGTAAAGATGGAGATGTGTTTGCTCCTTCAAACACACAGACACAAACATAAGGCCAGATGGATCACAAAGCAGGCAAATATGACACCACAAGAGAGAACTAATAAATAGACCTACAGACATACAGAAAAAAACAAAGCAAAGAAGCTCCTTGACATTGGTCTTGGCAATGAGTGTTTTGGATCTGACACGAAAAGCACAAACAACAAAAGCAAAAATTAACAAGTGGGACTACTTCAAACTGGAAAGCTTTTGCATAGCAAAGAAACAATAAACAGAATGAAGAGACAACCTATATAATTGAAGAAAAAGTATTTATCAGATACCATATACCTAATATATCTATATAACTGTATATCATATTTTTAATAAGGTTATATATTGAATATATATAAGGAACTCCTACAACTCAAAAGCAAAAAAACCCCCCAAAAACAAAAAACCCCCACCTCCCCCCAAAACAACAACAACAAAAAACTTCCAGATAATCCCATTGGAAAATGGGCAAAGGACCTGAATAGACATTTTTCCATAGAAGACACACCAGTGGCCAACAGATACCTGAAATGTGTTCAACAACACTAATCATCAGGCAAATGCATATCAAAACCACAGTGAGATATCCCTTCCCACCTGTTGGAATGACTGATATTAAAGTGATAACACGTGTTGGCATGGGTGTGGCGAAAAGGGAACCCTTGTGCAATGTTGTGGGGATGTAAATTGATATAGTCATTATGGAAAACAGTATGAAGCTTCCTCAAAAATTAAAAATGGAACTACCTTATGATCCAGTAATCCTGATATTATCCAAAGAGATAGCTGCCCTCTCATGTTCTTTGCAGCATTATTCACAATAGCCAAGATATGGAATCAACCCAAGTGTTTGTCAGCTGATGAATGGATAAGGAAATGTGGTATGTATATACGGTGTAACGTTATCCAGTCATGAGAAAGAAGGAAATCCTGTCATTTACAACAACATGGTTGGACCTTGAGGATATTATGCTAAATGAAATAAAGACAAAGAAAGACAAATACCATATGATATCACTTATACATGGCATCTTAAAAAAGTCAAAGTCATAGAAGCATATGGTAGAATGGTGGTTGCCAGGGAATCAGGGAAATGTTGGTCAAAGGGTACAAACTGTTAAGTATAGGGTGAACAAATTCTGGGGATCTAATGTATAGCATCATAGTTATGTTTTATTTAGAGATTAGATTTGATGGGGCAAAGGCTTAAAATATGTAAAAATGGAAGTAGAAGTTGTAAGCCTGAAATTGGACCCCGCCATTAAAACTGATTTTAATCAGGATCACAAGTCACTTCCACACCAGTGTTTTCAATGTTGACTTAAAATTCTCATTTATCTCACCTGACGTTGATTACTCTTTCCTCCTTACTCTACTGGGCTAAAAGTTCATCCTTCTATGGAGTTTTTTCTCTTTCTTTCTACTGTCCTGACTGATCCTTTTTGGTATTCTCTTGTTAGTTCCTCCTAATACACCTAAATTTTCTAAAAGTTGTAAATTCTAAGGTTCAATTTCTAAAACTCTTCTTTCTCCTTCAGTAATCTCATTAAATCTCAAGGCTTTGATATCTCCATACAGGACATAGCTTTAATTTTAGACTTGAATTTGGCCTTGGTCATGTGATTTACTTAGGTCAATAGGAAGTTAGCAAATATGATGAAAGAGGAAGTTTGAAAATTGCTTTTGCATTGAATTCTGTGGTTTGAATCCTGAGACCTACCATATGTATGAAGAGCTAGTCGGCTGGAAATGCCACAGAGGAGAACCCAAGCATTCCATCGTCAGCCTGCCAACTGCCTGATGTTGTGTGAGGAGATTTTAGATCTTTTAGCATTGGTTGAACAAACAGATGAATAAAATAACATGAATAACCCTGGTCAAGATTAATGGAATATCGAGCTAAACCTAGCGCAAATTGCTGACACATAGATTTGTGAGAAAATGATTGTGTTAAGCCACTAGGTTTCAGAGTGGTGTGTTTTGTAGCAGTAGATAACTATATGCGATATTTAGAATTTTTTCCAGTTATATAGTTTAAGCTATACTTTATTTTTATTTTTTAAAATTTAAATTCAATTAGCCAACATATAGTATATCGTAAGTTTTTGATATAATGTTCAATGATTCATTAGTTGTGTATAATACCCAATATGTGAGGTGATGAGCACTGGGTGTGATAAGCAATACTTTAGTAAACTGATCACCTGTTTCATTCCTAGGTACCTCCTGACTCATTCGCTGATGTCATAGATCTCTGTGGGTTAAAATATTCCTATTGTTATTCTGGTTCTGTTGCTAATTACAGTAATTGTTCCAACCTTGTCTTGGATGATTATGTACTGTCATCTAATTTGGCTAATTTAGGATGACATTATACCAGCTGAGATCATTGGACTGGCCAAATCTCTCACTGTTATTCCCAACATTTCCTTTTGCTAATTCGTTTCCTAATGTCATCGTGAAGAGAGTATTCTCTGGATTCTCCCCTGAGGAAAGAGTCGAGGTGAATGGGTTGTCCATCAAAAAATCCTCTTCAATATTGCCATCTCTGTAAGCCTTCGATGGTGCATTTTGGGAATCACATTCTTACTCATGTAGGTCACTACTGAGTCCAGCTTCCATACTATCAACCAGAAAAAAATGGTGGAGCCACTTGCTGTTGCTCAAGTTGTCATACTTGATGGTCTCTGGTAACTGCATATATTGATAATTTGGCATCATCCAACATTATACTCTGTTTTCTCTGGTCTAACACACCAAGAATCCAATTCCACAGTTTTTTTAGGTTTCTGCAGATGTTAATTAGGAAGATCTTGTGATTAGTTTTGTGTTTAAACTATCTTTTCTTGGGTCTAACTTTGCTCCTGTCTTCTTGGGTCACACTGGGATCTGACAATAGTGATGGTTCTCCAGGCAATGAGTGATCACAGGCACAGGCTTTAAGGAGAACAGGCATGTCCTTGTGAGAAAACTACATCAAATGAGATTATTACAGGGCCTCCAAGCAAAGGAATGCTAGTCTTTTCAGTTGGGATAGGAAAAGCTAATTCTGTGAAAAGGAAGTTTCAAAGTGATTGGGTGATTGAAGATTCTCAGATTCTTTGAAATATATTAAAAAAACTCACCTTGAGTCTCAGAGTCCCATTCCTTCCTGGTCAATGACAAAATCTTTAATACGGAGACTTTGGTGGGCTATATGCTAAACTTTCATTCTGCAAGCTGTACAATTAGACTGTGGCTT